ACCCAATAAATTTGGTAAGGCTCAGATGTCTCAGTTTTGAACGCATCATTACACGTGACTCTGCAGCGGTAAGAAATTTGTGCACAGTTGAATCTTGTATCTGTTCAAATCTTGTTGCACACTTGAATCTTGTTTCTTTTTGAGACTAATTTGTTTCCGTAGAATCTGACACTTCAGGATATTGTGACCAGTGCAGACTGAAGGTCTGTGTAGCCYCTTTGAAACCTCTTTCCAAAAACCCTCAGAAATCAACAGCCCTAAATGTGTCTCCCTCACGGTTTTTCAACACATTGGATTGGTTAGTTGAAAATCTTTAAATATATAAAAGAAATAATTCCTTATGTTGAGGGTAGAGGTTGCAGAAACACATCAGAGGAGTTAGTGGAAGAGCCATGAATTGTGGGGATGATCTAGCAAGGGTGGACAATCCTGGTTGAGGGCTACCATCCTGCATGTTTGTTTCTCTGCTCCAGTACACCTGCTAAATATTGGAAGTCAGCATTACAGAAATGCTCAATTCGAAATCTCAGTTGATTCGTTTTAACTCAAAATCTGCTTTTACTTTTTCATCTTATGTCATTTCGTGTATAAAGAATATAGAGACACGTAAACAAGCAGGTTCATGTTTAGTTGATACGCAAAAAAAGTAAATCACAGTTGTCCAAAAAATGTAAATCGAATCTGCGGTGTCAGAAAACACCGACGTGAAGTTTCTCATTTTTTTGTTGCGTCATGGGATATGTAGTTTTTATTTTTTATTTTGTTCAAGATGAACATAGTGGTGGTTGCAGATAAGACTCGAATTCCCATAATTCACAGCGAGTAGCACGTCGGCTGAGGGACGCATTAGCTCACGCGGAGTGTTTCTGGGAGTGCTGAGTCGAATATCTTGTGCGAGGAACAGCAGAAACCGGCTGTTGTATTTCATTCGAATTGGAAATAAAACATTAGACATCGAGTTCGGAAACTTTTAGTTACTCTAAGGGGTGACGTTAACGTCGTGATYTGGACGGACTTTCACAGTGAACRAAGAACTGCGTAGCTTCAGTGAAAAATCCGAGCCGAGAAGCACGATGGAGCCGAGAGACACTGCCCCTGATTCCTGGGAACAAGAGGACGATGTGGAGGCCACCGTCGACGGACAACTCGAGTCAGCGTTTACAAATCTGAACGTGAACGCTAAACCGTTTGTGCCCAATGTAAACGCGGCTGAATTTGTCCCATCTTTCACCGTAAAAGCACACTCGGAAAATTTCAGTTCTGCTGGTGAGTTGCTAGTCAGGCTGAAGGAGCTACTTTAGCTAGCAGCTAATGGTAGCATGTGTTAGCTTACTGTACAGACACGCGACTGTCGGGGACAGATAAAACTAGCTGCTGGCTTTGCTGGCGTGTTTTAATTTGTATTTTTACGGTACGATTGTCGCCGCGTGTCATTACCCACTGTCTTTATGATTTGTTTAAAGCTTCTACTGATTTAAAACGCTCTTAGACCAACCGGCTTTTTGCGGGTTTTAACGAACTGGCGGTAAATTGTTAGCACCATGTTCGGTAGCTCGTGTGGCTTTACGGCTGGACGCGTAGTTATAGTGAAACACTAAAGTCACTAATAACTTTTAATTCTTGACATCACAAATTATAGGAGCTGTCATACGTCTTTGTTGTCATTGTAACCCGTACTTTACTTTGACTGAATTGTTATAATTTAGTGTTGGTGTTTTGTGTGACGTGGATTTTGTGACGTATTGCTGGTCTAAAGTGGAACGATATATCTGTGTTTTAATTTAGCATGTGGTACGCCTTTTCTGTGGTATGCTCTTAAAATATTCAAAACATACCAGCAGATCATGTATAAGGATTAAAATCTAAACTTTACAACGTTTTAAATGTCTACATTTTGTGGTACTTAATGTCCCAAGTTTCCATTGAGCAATGTTCAAAGTTGTCATAAGTCACACAAAGATTGCCATTAAACGATAAGCATTTTTGACAACTTTTCAGAAGCTTTTTGAGTTTGTTACTGCAGTAAATTAAACCATAATTGTTTCATAACCATCTTAACATTTTGCTCGTGAAAAAAAGTATGTTGTTGACTCAAACTGGTTGAGTTTTAAGGAATATGAAAACAAGTTAACAGGTTGTTGGGAAGGTTTTTGCATCAAGCAGCCTTACAGATAAATAGGAATTAAAGAGACAGATGAGAAATGTAAGTTTGTGTACTTTTCCTGATTGTAGTAGGGTTGGACAATATTGACAAAAAATAAATCACGATTAATTGTGGTGTTTAGCCAATAACGATTAATTTGACGATTAATCCCCTGGACACCCTTATGTCCTAGTAACATTACCAATTTAGTGGGAAATATTTGCTCTTCATAAAAATCTGTTCCAAATTGTGTCAAAATTACAGACTTCAGGCTATACATCAAATTTTAAATTGTGTTGATAGATAAATAAGCTACAGAACTTTTTTTAATGTTCGTTAAATTTGAAGCGGAGAGGAGCAGCGAGTGGACTCTGCCTGTTGGCATTAATCGTATTAATTGCCAAGTGCCAAAAATTAATCGATTAATGTTTTTCTGACGATTAATCACACACGATACGATTATGCCCAACCCTAGATTGTAGTCAGTGCAGATTTCTATTACTGTAAACTAAAAAYAAGTATATAATATTGTATTTGGAGCTGTCATGCTGAACATGCTCTTCTTATTGTCCTCATAAGAATGGACTTTCGGACAGTCACTGTTTCATGACAGCTTAAAAGATGACTTCAAAAAACAAGAAAAAGAGTTAACTTCTTGTTTAAAATCTTAGTGTTTAACTGAAAAACAAACTTCAAACAGGAACTCCACACTCTTCAGTTTTGAATTAAGAAAGCTTTCTTGGTTTGAAGTGAAAACCAAAGTACAGACCAGAAGTCCAGTTGATTTGTTTTTAAACTTTTCAGATACCAGGACTAGATGACTGAGCATGTACACCAACAAACTTCAAACTTGTTTTTATAACCTTTTTTTTTTTTTTTTTTTTTGCCAAAAGATGGAGCAGGAAAAACCTCTTTGAAAACACCAGCCTATTATTTTTCTTTCAGTTGCTGATGAAAAAATATTCACTATGGAGGTGTCGGAAAGCACTGGTATGTATAAAGTCTGTGTTCTTGTTTGTGTTTTGTACATATTGGTACTGGATTCCTCTTTGTTTTGACACAAACAGACTTTCACTTATGATTAACAAAGCCTACAGAGAAAGGGCAACAGTGTCACACAGCATTGCGTTCAGGATAGTGGTTGTCATATTTTAGGACACATATTGTTTACACAACAGCAGTCAATAGAAACTACAACTTCATGAGTGCCAAATCTAAGACATCATTTATCTGACGATGTGGAAATTCAGATGTCAAAGAAAGGCGATGAGTAAAAAATAAAATATTCGGAAGCCAAATCTATTTCCCTTCATCATGACAGCATGGAGGAAGTATCTAATTGGGCTGTGATTTTGAGGGGTTTTTGGAATGTCTTGCCGTGTTTCCAGTGGTTTGCAATATCCTTGCATGAGTCGCATAGGCGTGCAACGCAGTCTTATCACTTTAGTTTTGAACGTGCTGCAAATTTTCTCTCAGAATTGTCTGTTGCATGTCTTTAACCAAACTGAGTACCAGAGTTGTTTGTTTTTTTTTTGAGTCGTGAATGAAAATATGAGTCAAATATCTTTGTCTAAAAGCCATACTGATAATTGTGAAAGAAAATAACTGGTCCAAATCTGCCAATTTAATTTCTAGTTCCAGTTGCTGCAGAACTTTAAATTGTTAGGTTGGATCGACGTCAGTTTTGGAAGTAAAGAGTTTTGCTCTGTTGATGTAAGGAAGCAGCCATGTTGAAATGATGATGTCACGAGTCTCGAGTATTGTCGTGTTACATCGATGTCCTGACTCAAAATTATATTATTAGGGGCCGTTCCCGCAACTCAGAGGTCTGAAATTTTGGCCTCCGAGTACAACTGGAACGCAGCATTAGTACAGTGGTTTCCAACCTATTTTACTCAAAGTCTCCCWTTCTGACATTTAAGCCAGGCTTAGAACCCCCCTATTTTTATTTATTTTTAATCAGTTTTAAGGTAACACTTAAAAAAAGTTTTAAGGTAACAAGTAATTCTAAGTGTTGCAGCCCAGTGTCAGTGGTTTATTATTTAGATCCAGTATTATCTGGAAAAACTGGGTTCTAGACATCCCTGACTATGTTGGGCTGAAGATTTTAGTGGTTTGCTTAAGCTGGACTCATAATTTGCTGCAGCTGCAGGATATTTTTCTTACCCCTTTGTATACTCTGTGAGAAATTACAGCATAGAATTTCTAGGAATCTACACACACACACACACACACACAGAGAGAAGAAAAAAAAACACAAAGTGCCAGAACAGAATGTAAAGGTGTCCCTGTGCTGCTCGGTCAAGGCATAGTCGCTCTCTGCGAGCACAGCCTTGTGTCCCTGTGTGCAAAATAAATATGTCATCTCTTTCAAGAAGTTCTTTGCCATCTGACTATTTTTAGAAATTTTAGTTGAGCATTTATAAAGATGGTTATGTTTTCCAGCCTCGCCCAACTGATTCTCTGTGGAGCAGTTGAAACCAGATGAGAGCAGTGTAGTTCACCCACTTCAACGCATAAACACACCCACAAATATTAAAAACGTATGCCTGGGCCTTGTGTTAAAATGAGTTTTTAGGGCTTATGCAATTAAAAAAAAAGCAAATATGTTCACGAGTGTGAAACCAGCTTAACCTGGGAAAAAATGATACCAACATTTTCTGTAACTGAACCCACTCACTACAGGAAAGCAGGTGCTTTGTCTGGGCCTCTATTGGGTAGAGCTGTTTGCAAAATCAGTTTAGTTTGAGTTTTGGGCTCATGGATTTTGATTTATTTAATATTCAAATTTGCGATTGATGCAATGAGAGTGAGAACCCTCAAAACTGTTTTGAATTAGACTTGYGCGGTGTGTATACCAGAAAAACATGTTCTCTTTTTATGAATTTTCCATATACTAGAAAAATATCAAGTACACTTTCTTAGGATGGTACTCTAGTAAACTGTTTCACCGCTGAACGTGCATGCAGAAAATAAAGATGGAGCAGCCTTCTCAGTAACTGATAGCAGGTGGCGATTTCCACGACTCCAGTCTTCGCCACATTCTACCCAACTGATGATAAAAAGTCTAGTTTTTTAAATTGCAGAATGTAGTATGCACCTCTTCAGTGATGTGTGCAGGTGGACTTCATCCATCAGATAATTTTGCCTGATAATAATTAAATTTAAAGACATGTCTACGTTTGACTTTAATTTTTTTTCTAAAATCACAGAGTTCTCTGAGTCAGCTTCAGGCCAGCCTGGTGGGGCTCATTGACATTTCAGTGCCTTTAAAATTACACAATCATTTTAGTGGAGAAACTTGTCAGTTTGGTTAAACAGTAAAAATAACTTGTTTTTTCTGTGCAGAGGACTTCCTCTGCTATAATTTTTTAAAATAAATATATCAAAACTCCTCAGTAGAAAAC